TATATATATGTATTTTTTTTTTTTGGCGCAGTAATACTTCCATGCAACATGCATAGTGGTGCAGTAACAGTTTTATAATGCTATATAATCTATGATGACCCTGCAAACATGATCTCAGGGATGGACATTGCAGAAATATAGCAGTGACTGGTCAGATTGTGACGGCCTGGCTCCCATCTGGCCTATTTTTGCAAAACATGGGGAAAAATGACCTAGAAACAGAGGTGCTTATTGACATAACTGACAAAGACATGTGGTCATAACCAACAAGCATATCTTGAAAAAAAAAAACAACAACTTTAAATTACACTTACTAAGTTTAAAATGAAATCAGCTTAAAATTAAGTTACACAGTGACAGGTTTGTCTTCAGTAGCCTTGAGGAGGTGTAATGACACCACTGAACCTCCAGAGAGAGCTCACTGCCTGTCAAACTCAAAACCACTCACCAGTAACAGCCTCGGTGACTGGTGAGCGAGCTTCGTTTTTGCCCCGCTCATCTTTTTGGAGAGGATTTTACACGACATCGGACCTGAATGTTTGTTTTTTTTAAATAATAAAAGTTTTACCATATCAAAAACTTTTAATAACAAAGCCGTATAATAATAATAATTCAATTTAAATTCGATTGTATTGTAGTTGTTAGGGTTATATCAGGTAAATTGGGCCACTTTTTGGTTAATCGCTTGGGGACACTAACAAAAAACCCATGTATGACATTTAACTGTGTTCTTATGATTAATAAGGACTGTTTTTTAATATTTTTGTGTTGAATTGATGTAATAAAATATAATTGTTCAGGCCCTACAGGTTTTGAAACATTAGCTGCCCCACATTTTTTGAGATAGCAGTGTTCAAGTAAAATGGGCCGGCTGATCAGCAAAAATGGGCCAGTCAAACTGCAAAGTGAAATAGAGACATTTCTGATAAAACACATTTAATTATATTTAATTTTATAATGTAACAGTGTAACATTGTAATTAAATTACATTGGAACATCAATTTCAATCAATTTCATCAATAAAACAAATGTCATAAAAAAAAATGTAACAATAACAATAACAGTAGTGTTATGGCAACAGTTTAAAAGTTAACAGCCAATGGAAGTGTGTAAGACATAAAATCACCGTCTGCTTTTTAAATGTGTTACTCGGAGCGACTGTGCCCCCGGATTTAACCGATGTAGTCACTGTTGAAACAGCACCAAATCTCACTTTTCTGTGCCTATGTTGGAGTGGGTCGGGAGGAAAAAGTAGTAAGAGCGTTATTTAATCCATTACTGAGGGCAGTTTTACTCACGGTAAAATAATTGAGTCATGTTTCTTCCGTTCCAGTGGTGCTGGTGAGGCATAAAGAATGACATGCTGAGTCACGCTGTCAGAATGAGCTCAACATGTGCTGCCCTACGGGATCAATGAAGAAGAGTAAAGTAAAGGTCTAAGGTAGGCTTAATGTAGAAGTGCATTTTAATGTAAATTTTTAAAAGGAATAATAAAAAGTCTAATAAAAAGTCTACACTTTTGACTAAAATGCCATTTAGTTTTAGTCATCTTAATTGTTTTTAGTTTTAGTCTAGTTTTAGTCGACTAAATATCATAAGCGGTATGCGATGAGACCTGTTTTCCCATTTGGTCAAGTGACTTTCGACATACACCCCATAGGAGCACTTTAAATGCATAGGCCTGCTGAAAAATGCAGTCCCCCCATATATATGTTTTTTAAAATAAGACATATATGGACTGACACATATTTATTTATAAAATCAAGTTCATTACTTTAAGAGGCAATATAAAGAATTTATGTAATAACTTTACAAATATTTAAATATAGTGGTTTATATGTTCACTTCTATTGAATGGCATGTGTCCCCAGTCTAACCCTGGGGGAATGTGGTATTACTGAACTTGTTGTTACGCTTATAAAAACAAGATGTAATATTTGAAAAAAAACTTTATTCTGTCTATATCATTGATGCCTGCTTTTTCTGTCCTCGCAAATTAAGATTGAATTGTCAAACCCGAAATAGTCAATACCGAAACACTTTTTGTCAATACCGAACGATCCATGGCTGTTTCAATATTGACATATTTCAGCAGTGACATTCAGTTGTTTTATTCTTATGTATAAAAAAATCATAACATTTCATATTTTAAACTGTAGTCTCCTCTTTTTAGTGAAATCAAGTTATAGTTGCTGAAATTGTGATGGGCCCTTTTCACATTTCCAGGGTTCTCAGAAGTGCGTCATAGTTGGGTAAACGTCTATAGGGGTGAATGGGAGATGACAGCAGATATAATTTTTGTACCAAAATAAATATTCTGTGACAGCATTTCCACGACTTTCCAAAAGAGGGGGAAAAAATAGAGAAAATGATTACAACAGTCAGAAAGAAAGATGTGAAATTTGCCATCACTCCCTCAGCTGTCGTATTAGAACCCTTGCAGCAGCGTTAATTAAAAAAAAAAATTTTTGTAATATATTACTAGGGTAATATAACACAAAGTATAGCGTCATAAATGTGAATGATTTTTTTTAATGAAAATATTAAAAACTTGTTCACTTCTATTGAATGGCATGTGTCCCCAGTCTAACCCTGGGGGAATGTGGTATTACTGAACTTGTTGTTACGCTTATAAAAACAAGATGTAATATTTGAAAAAAAACTTTATTCTGTCTATATCATTGATGCCTGCTTTTTCTGTCCTCGCAAATTAAGATTGAATTGTCAAACCCGAAATAGTCAATACCGAAACACTTTTTGTCAATACCGAACGATCCATGGCTGTTTCAATATTGACATATTTCAGCAGTGACATTCAGTTGTTTTATTCTTATGTATAAAAAAATCATAACATTTCATATTTTAAACTGTAGTCTCCTCTTTTTAGTGAAATCAAGTTATAGTTGCTGAAATTGTGATGGGCCCTTTTCACATTTCCAGGGTTCTCAGAAGTGCGTCATAGTTGGGTAAACGTCTATAGGGGTGAATGGGAGATGACAGCAGATATAATTTTTGTACCAAAATAAATATTCTGTGACAGCATTTCCACGACCTTCCAAAAGAGGGGAAAAAAATTGAGAAAATGATTACAACAGTCAGAAAGAAAGATGTGAAATTTGCCATCACTCCCTCAGCTGTCGTATTAGAACCCTTGCAGCAGCGTTAATTTAAAAAAATATTTTTTGTAATATATTACTAGGGTAATATAACACAAAGTATAGCGTCATAAATGTGAATGATTTTTTTAAATGAAAATATTAAAAACTTAATATTTATGATGTTGATAGCTGTGGAAACGGGTCATCACAGTCACTACCGAAACGTTAATGTCACAACTGAAACACTTTCTTTTCTTAAAAAAACAAAACAGAAATAATACCTTGATTACTTTTTTTTACATGGTCACCAGGATGGGGCACATTGTCACTCTATAAAAAAAATGTTTCTTCAAAATCTTACATTTAACAATAAAGATACACATTTTCACACTGGCTGTATACATTGAAACATAACATAGAATAGAAAATAGTTTTGAAACATTCTAATAGCTAATACAGGTTCCAAACAGTGTAGTAAAATTCATTATTTCATGCTGAATCAACATGCATTAAGATATGTATTTGTTTTCTATGTATTGTACATTTTCTGGTTTGTTTCAGTAGTGACCAATTTTGGGGCATTGTTCAAAATTTGCTGAAATTGTGAAGAAAACATACAAAGATTCTAGTGTACCCACATTACATTTATGCATTTAAGATGCAATACAATACAAATTTACAAAAAAATTTGAAAAGAAAAATTAAACATTTCAACCCAATACAAACCTGACTTTGCAACACTTCTTGTAGAATGACTCATAAACTATAAAATAAATAGATACTTAAAAATAGATTGTATCTAACGCTTCATTTTACTTCAACAAAATGGTTGGTTTAAACTTTTATTTAATGTCAAAAACATCCCAAAGTTGAAGAATACAATGCTTAACATCTAACACATAAATGACACCAATAATAGACCATAATAATAACTGAGTGCAATAACAAAACAGAAAACATCACTAAAATGTAATGAATGTAATATAATATAAACAATACAGAAGCAATAAATAAATATACAAAATTCATATTTTGTATTTGAACAGTAAAAATGGTGACTATAGCATGTACATTAATGATCTGTTAAGTATTATATTACAATGCAGTACTGTTTTGTAATGACCTAATGAAAGTAATGAAAGTTAGCGATGTTGCTTCCAATCGTGTGTTTGTTCCTCAGCAGCAGTGTTTGTCTTTGATGAGATAACAGGTGACACAATAGGTCACCGACTTCTTTCAGAGTCAGGCCTTCATTTTCCCTCCAAGCTAAACACATCCCCAGAGCACTTCCTGTCAAACAGGAACTGATAGTACGCTCCATTTTTATCTCGGCAAGAACATGGAAATGTTATCGTATTCCTGTGGGCCTCTTCATCCCGCCCTTTGCCTGCAGGTCTGTCTGTTTCTCTTGTTCATTGTCTGCTGAACTGTGACGTGACCGCGAACAATAAACCACATTTCATTCATCTGCATCGCCAGGAATTTCACACATTTTATGGAGACTTTGTGTGTGTGTGTGTGTGCATAAATGTGCGTGTTTTGATGAAGAAGCAGGTATTATAGTCATAAATAATAATAAGAATGCTGTATGCCAGGTATTGAAAACAGATTTACTGACTTTTACTGGCAAAACACCAAAAGGGAAGAAAACAGTCTGTGAAAGAATAATATTTGTCAAAGAAACACAAAGTACAAAGACGCTGGGGATATTAAGGCATTTTCATCGTCTTTTTATTTCCATAATTAAACATTAAATATCTGAAAAAATAATAAACCTGTTTCACAGTGCAAAATACGAAAGTACAGCATATGGCGGATTCAGTAGTTATTCCAGACCAGAATATACAAACATCTAATAACCAACCAAACAATCTTTTTTTTATATGCAAGGGTACATTTACTTGAAAAATAGATATTGGTAGTTTATTCCCAATAATAATAATAATATTAATGTCTCAAAAGCAGACATTAAAATGAGCAGCATACTGATCAGAACATTTATAACGTACAGCCAACCAGATACAACACACATAAATCATCATATCACATGACGAAAACCTGTTCTAGAGATAAACCTATGTAGTGCTAATGTGGGCTCTGTTCAAAGTCAAAGTGAGCTGCCTACCTAGACAGCATTTTTAGGCATCATAGGCAGTCTCCCAGCTGACAAATGCACGAAACCACTCTAAAACCATGGTTTGGAACAGAGCCGTGTGTTTTTATAAAATTCTTTTATAAAATGTAGTGAAAAACCATCTCTTTCAACCACAGTGGATGGATCTCACATTTTCTCAAAGTGTTGGTTGAGTGTCACAGCCCAAAAGCTCCAGCCGCAGGGCAATATCGTTGACCCAGCCTTTAGGGTGAATCCGTATAAAGCGAGTGAACAGGGGAGGATCAAACACGTTCAGCGCCTCCTCATCATGCTCGCTGTTTCCCTCAAAGATCTACATCAGGATGAAAAAGAGCAAGAAACAAAACACCATCAACATGAATAAGGGACTCTCTGGAAACCCAGCAAGAACGTGTCCAGGTCATATTTCACCCCAAAATCAAAAGAAAGAAATAATCATATTGATTATGAGAAAATTAAACCTATCCATTTTTTTTGCTTAATGAGCTTAAACAGTCAAGGGGGGCGTGTCTAAAGTAACTGGCAGATCATTTGGTCTCCAGCCAATCAAACACTTTCAATCTGCTACTCGCGCTGATCCAGAATCAGGTACACAACACAGTCGCTGTATTTTTTTCTGCGTTGTATTTCATACCATTGTATACAGTGACAATAAATTATCTTACGGTTACTCTTGAATTTATACTTTAATATACAGTATCTCACAGAAGTGAGTACACCCCTCACATTTTTGTAAATATTTTATTATATATTTTCATGTGACAACACTGAAGAAATGACACTTTGCTACAATGTAAAGTAGTGAGTGTACAGCTTGTATAACAGTGTAAATTTGCTGTCTCCTCAAAATAACTCAACACACAGCCATTAATGTCTAAACCGCTGGCCACAAAAGTGAGTACACCCCTAAGTGAAAATGTCCAAATTGGGCCCAATTAGCCACTTCTGTGAGATACTGTAGATGCTTCAATCTTTGCATTACAATAATTTTCTTATTTTACTTATACATAAAAATGCACATTTTAATTTTGTGGGGAAAAGTGCTTAATTATCAAGAAAGTAATGCCATAATGCAAAAACGTCTTAAATAAACCTTTATTTCCTTCATGCAAAATGTAAGTTTATTTCTATTTTGGAGTGAAATGCAACTTGGTCTTGTTTTTCGTGAGGCAAAATCCATTCTGTATCATTCAATACACACAAATAAGGCAGTACCTTTTCACTGTCTGTGCCCTGCTCCTTCACACTGGTCCATCTGTGGCCTTCATTGCTAATAGAGACGGTAAATTCAGTGACTGTCATTGGTTTCAGGGCGGATCGGGCCCCCTGTGTGACCACCCCGGTCACTCTCTTCATAGAGAGAAAGTCCACCTGTAACCACTCATGAGGGTTATTAGTCTGTAGAACCAGAGAAGAAGAGGGGAAGACAGGAAGAGACAAAATATAAGGTGATCAGTTTAATAACTTCTTTACAGTGATAAACATTTGAATGTTCACACTCAGAGAAACAAACACCCATGTACAGAATGAATGTGCATAAATCTACTAACAAATGGCTTGCACTTTAAGAAAAGGCTGTAAGATCGGGGCTCAATGTCCAGTGTTAATATGAAGGAATTTCTGTGTTATGCATTGCCAGAAATTTGAATTATGCATTGCATTGTGTTGTGTGAGGGTTAAAGGAAATGTCTGTTAACTCATTTGATAATGCTGCAGCAAAAACTTACCAGTACCTTTTACTTCTTTACTCTCCAAGTTTTTTCGGTAACACTTTATTTTGATGGTCCCTTTTGAACATTCTGTTGACAGTAAGTAATGTTGCACCTACATGTCTACTAACTCTCATCAGAGTATTAGTAGACTGTTTGCTTAATATCTGCTAACTATTTATTGTCATGGTCTCCCAACAGACATTCTACTGACTATAAGTAACTTTGCAAGTACATGTCAACTTATTCAAACCCTAACCCTACCAGTCTACTAATACTCTACTAATACTCTAATGAGAGTTAGTAGACATGTAGGTGCAACGTTACTTACTGTATAGTCAACAGAATGCGTTAAAGGACCATCAAAATAAAGTGAAAAGAAAATTCAAAAGAAAATTCACTTTCACTCTCTCTAAGAACAACATACAGTGATTAGATAGACAGACAGATAGATAGATGGGTGGACAGATACCTTGGGTCTCCATGCATTTGCTCGCCCCTCCTGGTGGAGTCTAGCGAGGTCAGGACTCCAGGACAGTAACCACTTGTTTAGGAAGGAGGAGGCGCTGATGCTACTGCTGGGAATCAACCTGCGCTCCATTCCCAACGGCATAGAACAACCTGACAAACACACAAACAAACATGCTCATATCTGTTTGAAGCAGTGTGATTTTACTACCACTGAGATACACATTTTTATTGAAATTTTGACTTATAGGTTTTAAAAACTTTCTATTTTTATTTTAACTTTCATTTGCTACTCATTTCATGTGCAAAGATGTTAGACAATACTAAAATGGTTTTCTTTTATTTATTTATTTTTTACACATAATTCTTAAAAGACAAATGTTTATGTAGTTCAGTTTTGTTTATTTTAGTATTTCAAGTTGAAATAAATGAAAATGAGAAATACTGTCATGCCAAACATTAAGATAGATAAAATAAGTTACATGAAATATTTATATTGATTAGATATAATAAGTTTACATTTCATTTATCATTTATTTCAAGTAACAACAATGTTTTTCTTATGGTTTCAGTTTTAGTTAACTATAATAACCCTGGTTTTTATATTGGTTTGCATTTTTGTATTTGGTTAACATATTAGTCTGAAAAACATCTATACTGCAAGGACCTTGTTTTGGAGAAGTGTTTCTGAATGTGCAGAAACATGCATTATTCAGCTCTTTCAATTAAAGGCAGAGTAAGTGATTTTTCAAAAACGCTTTAAAAACTGATTCGGGCCGAATCGCAAAACAAACTTGTAGCCAATCAGCAATAAGGGGCGTGTCTACTCATGATGTGGAGGAGAGCGCGTTCAGTGCATGGGACGGACATTAGCCGAGCCGAGCGACAGAAAGATAGAGATGGCGGATAAAAAACAAAAGAGGAAAACGTCTGCGGAACGATAAGGCAAGAAGTAGGACCCGTGTAAATATCGGATCAGCTTTCCAGCGCTGGAGAGAACTCAAGGAGCGGAGGCCTGCGATCGGACGCCGAGGTTGCTTTGTTTCTTCTCAATAGGTGAGTAACACCGTGTCTACAACAGCTAAAGTCTGACTACACTGGACGCGATCAAACGACCATTGAAAAACATTTGAAATTTGTATCAGCACGTCATAAATAGAAGATGGCAGCAGTTTTCTGTCGGGATTTGTTGAGCCGCGCCGCTTACGTCCGTAGACACGGTGTAACATTGGTTTTGCTTTGTTTCACAGAACTAATCGTTGCCTGGGTTGCGTACGTATGTGTGGGGCGGAGCTATCAAAATAGGGGCAAGACCCTTTTGGGGTAGGGGCGTGTTTGTTTTGGTGATTTCAAATATAAACATTGGCTACCAGAAATCCCTTACTCTGCCTTTAAAAGAAACTACTTGACTCAAACTTTTCTCTGATAATGAAGCTTTGGACATTGCCATTGATGCATGAAGGGAGAAAATGTGTTGAAAAGCAAAAGAGAGTAAACAAGGAACGCTGTAGTTAGGAAGCCTTGAATTGGATCTTTCTGATGCTACAAGCAGGATGACAGATGCTCATGAACTAACAAAAACATCCAAAGCTTTCAGATCTCCATGTTTAAATCGCTTCATGCTGACAAAAATGGCAAACAAAGGCAAACAAGAAATGTGCTTTGCAAAGACCTTGTCATTTGAATAGTGTCTAGTTGATGCATTGTTTGGATTTCTCATCTATAGCGTCTTCATCTTCTCCTCCAGTTTTATTTGTTAGAAAGTGCTGTCATCAATCTGTGTGTGTTTACTCACTATTAAGGTCACATCCCAGCAGCTCAATCCTCAGTGTGGGCTTCTTCTGAAAGGTCAGTGGGTGAATTCGGATGTAGCGACCCACAACGGGCGGAGAAAACAAGTTCTCCTTTATTCTGGAACCGTCCATGTTTCCATTGAAGGTCTGAAAACAAGAAAACAGATGTGAATCATACCGAAATTATGAAAGATACAAAAATAGTCAAATATGTAATTAGGATAGCGCTTCTTTTGAAATCAAAGCAAATCAGTTTCATTGGAAAAATAATTTGTAGGAGTACGTTTCATCATGTGTTTCTTAAGATTGCGATGTTTAAAGGTTATATTTAATGGGCAGAGGATTTCTTAAAATAGCTCTTAAAATATGATTTTCACAAAAAAGTGATAGGGATTATCTTGGAAATTTCTAGAAGATTCTGTTAACATATTTTTGTATATCTATATTTATGTAGGCGTATATGAATGCCAGAGATGTTTCTTTCTCATTTAATACGCAAAGACATTAGGCAATCTTAAATTATGTTACATATATAAGGACACATGTCCCAAAAACAGTTTCATGTCACAAAAACAATTTCCAGATCACTTTTCACCCTCAAATCAAATGCAATGATTAAATAATGATGAAAAAATAAATAATATTTTGCATGAAGAAAATTTAGTCTATTAGTCTATTAAGATTTTGTGCATTGTCATTTTTCATTATATTTCCATCCCCAATTTTTTTTTTTTGCTGTTCGTAATCATTTTATTTTTGAGCTGTTAATGGTGCTACTAAAATAGGCTCGATTTTGTTTGAGTGAATTATAATTTCAAATTTCTTCTTGTATCTGACGTAAAATATTGCACGTTTCTGACAGGTCTGAGATTCACCCTAAAGCTACAGAAGTAAAGGGTGAGGTCATTATGCTAAAACTAAATAACGGTGTGAAAGAAATATTTACTAACATTATAAGAGAACTTCAGGGAGGAAAAAAGTCAAATGCTACAAAAAGCACACAGTATGGCCCCTTTAAATCAGTTTAGTTTAGAGAAATTCAGATGTTGGTACTGACATAAGATGACTTGGTACTGTTTCCTTGGTAGGTAGTCCAGTTTTCTTGGTCGATGCTGTAACTGATGCTGTACAGGATGGTGAAATACTCGCTCAGACCCATCGAGGTCTTTGCACCCTGAGTCCGAATGCCATGAAGAAGCATGGGCCTTAACAGATCCACCTAAAACAACACATACAGTAACAAAGAGAATAGTTATGGAAAATGATCATATTCTGTTTTTACCAATGAATTTGTACTTATTTCCTAGAGCAATTTATAGCAATGGAATAGCGAGTTGTGCATTGCTAAAAATAACATTCACAACAGAAATTTCAATTACTTTTCAGTGCTAAGATTAACTTTTCCAGGCCTTCCCAGAAATCCACCATCATATGAACCCTGCTAAAAAGAGTGAATTGTTGTATATCCTGCACTTTTTCTCTCTTTCTCTTGCTTCCAGGCACTATTGAAGCAAACGTTAAATAAAATCTCCTGCACAAACCTATTTATAGTTTTCAAAAGTATTTTCCACTTTGTCTTGCTGACAGTGAAAGTATAATGTGTCATGACTTGCTGACTGTGGTGCAAAGAGTCACTATTGTCTGTGGCACGTTGTGAAATATGAGCCACAGATAAATCATAATGTGTTATTCTTAACTATAAAAATTAGTCATCACAGTCCATGACCGGGTAGCACAGTTTTTTAAAAATGAGCCTCAGAACAGCATGTTACGTCTGCAAACAGAAGATTTCTTTTACCTGGAGCCAGGAGTCTGTGCCGCTGCCCATCCAGGCATTAATAGAGCCAGATAACTCAAGTCTGGCTAAACTTGGCTTCCAGTTACCTGTAAGAGAAATCAGATTCCAACAATTCAATAAACGTAGAAATATTTGATTAAAAACACTATATTTTGTGGCCCAAGTCAAAAAATCTTAAATCCTATTAATAGCACATCTTTCAAGACGAATATAGTGGGACAAATTACACAGTCAAATCCACTGTACACATTAGACTTATGAATACATTTATTGTACTATTATTTTGTGTTTTTATATTGCATTTTGTAGCTCTTACTAGGGTCATTACAGTTAACTAAAATGGTCTTGTTTCATTATTTTAAATAAAAAATTAAAACGCAAAATGACAAAAACAACAAAATTACTAATAGTTCAAGAAAATACACTCTAAAAAATGCTGGGTTGTTTCATCCCAATTTTGGGTCAAATATGGACTAACCCAACTGTTGGGTTAAAAAGTTAATTTAAAAATGTAACCAAAATTTAACCCAACAGTTGGGTTAGTCCATATTTGACCCAAAATTGGGTTGAAACAACCCAGCATTTTTAGAGTGTAGAGTAAAAACAGAATCTAAAAATAAAATCAAAATTTTTGCAATTGCAAATCAGCATATTAGAATGATTTCTGACTGAAGCCTGGAGTAATGATGCTAAAATTAAAGTAAAAAAAGAATTTAAAAATAAAATCTAATTCAACAAAATAGTAAATCAATGATACTAAAATAACCCTGTTTCTTACCATAGTGGTCAGAGGCTGTTATTTGTTTGTTGTCAATCCATCCCGACTGGATTCCTAATGGCTGAATGCACCCTGTTAAACAAAATCAATCAGTTTCAGGTGTCCTCTAACTATTAGTGACTGCAGAAACAGGATGCCAAGAAAGATCTATGACTGACTCTCATGGAGGAAGAGAGTTTAAGCTCTTACTTGGGTTGTAAACCAGCAGCTTGGCCCTCATGCCTGCCATCTGATGTTCTCCGATAGTGCACTCTATTAACCAGGTGCCTACAATGGCTGGCCTCATCTCCACCGTCCCAAAAACTCCTGCCAAATGAGACAGAATTATTGATATACACTGCTGGCCAAAAGTTTGGAATAATTAAGATTGAAACAGTGAAAATGTAATAGTATTACAATTTGAAAGAACTGTTTTCTATTGTAATATATTTTCAAATGTAATTTATTCCTGTGATGGTAAAGCTGAATTTTCAGCATCATTTCTCCAGTCTTCAGTGTCACATGATCCTCCAGAAATCATTCTAATATGCTGATTTGCTGCTCAAGAAACATTTCTGATTACAGATTTTACTGCTTAATATTCTTTCTTTTTTTTTTTTTTGGAAACTGATACACATTCATTCAACAGTTTGGGTTAAGCTAGATTTAAAAACAAAAACAAAAACAAACTTTTATTCAGCAAAGATGCATTAAATTGATCAAAAGTGAAAGACTTCTATCCACCTTTTAAATTATGGGAGGCACTTCCTGTTTGGGGAAGATCCACTCAAAAAGACTGAAACAAATCATTTCAGATCATAAGGTTGCACTAAAAATAATCCTCATCCTTCAGTTTGAATGAATGAGCTGATGGTATAAGAACTATATCTTTTCAGTCTGCTGCATTATTTTCCTCCTGGATATCTTCTGTTTTTCCTTTGTATTCCGCTGTAACAGTATATGAATAAAGACAACGAATACTGCACATTTGTGGTCTGCTGTCCGGTTTTAATTTACAATATATCCCATGAATAATGCACTGGAATGCATGAAGAATCTCTTGTTTTTCTCCCCAAATCCTCACATCTCGTTCCAGGTTTGTTTTCAGAGATGCTTAAAATGTACATTTCTCCCCATTTCACTTCTAATCCCTATTAACAGTGACTAAAGCAGGTAAATACAGTATTTGTTATCTGTCAAAATGATGGAAATCACTTTGAAATATTATCACTCAATGTTCCAGTTAATGAACATTTACCTAGTTCAACCACTCGGTGTCAATCCTACATACAGCACCTTTAAGCCAACGTATGTTATATAATATAGACATATATTACAGTGATATTTACACATCTTTAATATTGCTGTGGAAATACTGTAATCAAGCTTTTTGGGGTTTTTCAAGGTCTATTGTAATTTGTTCATGCTTTTAAACGTTTGAATGTTCTTTTAATATCTGATGGTTGAATGTCACCTCATTGTACCCAGTATTTGAGAATGCTTGTTATTGCATTCATATAGCAAACCTTTCGCTTGTTGTTTACAGTTTAACGCAAGTTACTCCCATAATTTGTGCAAAGCAAAAGGAAAAAGGTGGATAATGTTACAGAAGATTTCTGTTTTAAATAAATGCTGTTCTTGTCAAATTTCTGTTCAGCAAAAAATCCAATATTTCCACAAAATATTCAAACAAAATTAAGCAAAAACTGTTTTCAACATCGATGATAATAAAATCTTTATATAACCATTAATTGAGCACCAATAATTATTGAGCAGCAAATCAGCATATTAGAATGATTTCTGAAGGATCATGTGACACTGAAGACTGGAGTAATGATGCTGAAAATTCAGCTTTGCATCACAGGAATAAATTACATTTCACAATATATTCAAATAGAAAATAGTTATTTTAAAATGTAATAATATTTTTCAGTATTACTGTTTTTACTATATTTTTTATCAAATAAATGGAGCCTTGGTGAGCAGAAGATATTAAAAAAATATTAAAAAAATAAATAAATAAATAAAAATAAAATTTTAAACTGTAATGTAGGTATATGCTGTAAGATTGCAGACAGACTGCCTGAGTTACATTTAATGAATTGTGATTTGTAAATCTAACATACTAAAAGACATGTAAGGTGCCGGGTGATGGATTTGGTTTACCAGGATAGAGATTGAAAACTCCCATGCGGTGTTCCTGATTTTTTCCGACTCCGAACGGCAGTCCGTGGAAGTGTACAGCGTGAAACTCGCCACGACTTCCAACATTGAGGAGGTGCCAGCGAGCCGTCTGGTACTGTTCAACTATCAGGCCAGGAAGCGTCTCTGACACGTAGCCATTAATAGCTACAAGTACCAATAAAACACAACACAATAATTACGGCTATTATTACATTTCCTAATATCTCCTCTAATACGCCAAGTTTATAGGTTCAATTCCCAGGGAATGTGTGAACTAATAAAATGTATACCTTGAATGCACTGTTAGTTGCTTTGGATAAAATCATCTGCCAAATGCAGAAATGTAAATACGCATGTGTTGCCCTGAGTCAGTGAATTATCAAATGTTTATATTTAGAAAAACTGGGTGTTTGGAATATTGGCAGTGCGTTAAATTCGTTCAGCATGTTACATTATACGGCCGGTTTCTTGTAAGTGTTTGTGTGTGTGATTTAACCACCAAATTCTATAACACAATAACAAGCATAAACACACATGTGCCCATTTGGTACGAATCATTTTTGAGACAGAGGACAGAAACAGATCAGACTGGTCGTTTCATAAGAGATCTCCAACACGAATGTCGTGTTAATCGTAAATTATGAAAATGTACCTGCAAACTTGTTGCTCATCTCAAACCACGGGTCGTCTACTTTGGCCTGGCAGGGTGGGGTGCAAAACTTCCTGATGTTGTAGTCGAGGTACCAGCTCTTTCTTTCATCAAAGGTGGTGAAGAGAAGGAAGAAATCTGTCACGTCAGGCTGACGTAAGACGCGTGGATGGAGGGTACCAGGATGACATATCAGCACCGGACCGATTAGACCAGAGTTGATGTCCTTCTCCTGGTGGACGCAAGAGGAATACAGAAGTTGATATTTAAGTTTACATTTATGTGTTTGGCAGACGCTTTTATCCAAAGCGACTTGCATTCAAGCTAAACATTTGATCATTTCATCCATTATCTGGGAATTTTTTGTTGAGTGTCATATTTGATCAGGCTTTTATGGCTCATATGTCTCATGAGAATATGGAGCTCATACTCTCATATTGATTTTTCTAAAAAATGATGCATGGATAATCGAGTAAATCTTGAAAAAATTTCTAACAATATAAAAGTTATACTTAAGTTTACTTTATAAAAATCAGATTTCACAGCAAACAGACATGTGGACCATGACCTGAAGGTGACCTGATGTTTTTACAATTATACTAAAGGCCTTTTACTTGCTAAAAAGTATAAACTATCAGTCATGCGTGTAGTAGATTGTGTGCAACATGTTTTTCAGCAAAGTTTTGATCATTTAGATCATTTAGAGGCCTTAGAAATGTGTGTATCAAATATGATACAGGAGGCTTTATAGGGTTAAAGACAACATGAAAATTTAATTTTGATTTGTATGTTGCACACTGAATTACCATGTTGATGTTGGAGTAGTAGGCCCCAGCCTTGCAGTCAAACTCTGACGCTGAGGGACCTTGTCGTCTGGAGACTCTCCAGTTGTAAACCCTCTCCTCCCCTGGAGGAACTGGATCACCTGGTACTTCCTCGGCCTTGACGCCTTCTGGGCCCGTTCCAGGGTTAAAACTCCCCTGCATCTTATCGTACACCCCATGCAAGTGGAAAGAGTATGGTCTGGACGCCAGGTTCTTGAAAACCACCTTGTGGGAAAAGAAATGCAAGGAATTAGTGTGTGCAATGATAAAGGTGCAAACCATTTTTGGAAATAAGCTAGAGCAGAAGAGAAATGCAGAGAAAGAGAAAGAAGAGGATTTGTGTTTTGTTTTTTTGCAAGTGCATTGGTTTAAGGTTGTGAAGTGGTTAGGTGCTGGTGGAAAAAGTGTGACTTCAATTGTGTCTTCAGGAAATTGTCATGGTTTCTGTGGTTCAAATGGAGTTTGGCTGCTCTTTTGACCAGAGAGGAGCAGAGAGAGTGAAGGGTCTGGAAAGTAACTTTGTGCCTTGTTTTGAAGGAACAGCATGGCACTGCTCGTTCAGTGATGATAGTTAACGGGCAGGAGCATACACTTTTAGGAGTGTGGTAGGGAGGATTGCAGGTCACATTAGTGAAATTTCCTCAAAGTTTAATGGGCAATTTTCTGTTGTCAATAATGTAGCAATGTATGAAGTACAGTTCACACAGTCACTTTCATACCAAGCAGCTTTCTGATGGTCAGCACAGCAAATTCGCGTGACCAACTTGAACCTGTTGCAAAATCAGTGTAATCTTTCACCTTCACTTGAATTTCTATTGAAATGACTGGATTTCGCCTGTGAAAATTTGCCTGTAAATGTGATTGCACCTTAAAGGGTTAGTTCACCCAAAAATGAAAATTCTGTCATTAATTACTCACCCTCGTGTTGTTCGAAACCCGTAAGACCTTCGTTCATCTTCGGAACACAATTTAAGATATTTTTGATGAAATCTGAGGGCTCTCTGGCCCTCCCATAGACAGCAAGGTAACTACCACATTCAAGGTCCAGAAAAGTAGCAAGATGATCGACAAAGTAGTCCGTGTGACATCAGTGGTTCAACTGTAAAGTTACGAAGCGCGTTTGCGACAGTACCATGACCCATGACGCGAGCGTGTGGCGGCGCTGACCCAGATCCGGCGTAATGATGTCAACACGCCGGATCTGGGTCAGCGCTGGCGCCGCCACACGCTCGCGTCATGGGTCATGGTACTGTCGTGAACGCGCATCCAAAGACGAAGTAGAGACGAAAATGTGGAATAAAGTCGTTATTTTTGTTTTCTTTGCGCAAAAAAGTATTCTCGTAGCTTCGTAACTTTACAGTTGATGTCACCACTGATGTCACACGGACTACTTTGTTGATCATCTTGGTACTTTTCTGGACCTTGAATGTGGTAGTTACCTTGCTGTCTATGGGAGGGTCAGAGAGCCCTCATATTTCATCAAAAATATCTTAAATTGCGTTCCGAAGATGAACGAAGGTCTTACGGGTTTCGAACAACACGAGGGTGAGTAATTAATGACAGATTTTTCATTTTTGGGTGAACTAACCCTTTAAGAATGCAATATTCGGTTAAATTAAGATGCTCATTTTAATAGCTCCTATTAATGAAGAAACTTACAGTAAGAACATCATTAATTTCTGCCTTCAACACAGGACCCATAATGCCGAGATGCTCGTCCAGTTCTCCTCGTTTGATTGGATGTTTGAAATCTCTGTCCTGATAGGCTCTGAATACTACTTTTTTATAGGCTGGGAAATATTTTCTCATTCCCCTCCGCATCTCCCTGTGGACACATGAAATATTTAGTGCAAGTACAATTGACCAAACTTTTAAGGCTGGTTTTAGGCTTAATTTGAAAAGCAATAATATTAATGTCACGATCTAAAACAGCATTGCATTGTGACGTTATTTTTATGACAAATAATGATTTAGGATTGTTTTTCTGCTCATCTAAATAGATTTGATTTAATCAGACACCACCAAAAATGAGATTTTATTCAATATGTAACATTACATTTATATATATAATTTCATATTATATTTGTTTGATTCTCCCAAATAGAAATTCTTGAGACAAAATGTGGTTGTGACAATAAGGATTTTAAGGCATTTTTGCCTTAAACTATATACAACTAAACTAAATGAATCTGATACAATCTGACACCACCAAAAATTTGATTTTATACAATATCTTATATTCTTTTGGTGCTAGCGCCAAAATTATGGAATTCTTTACCATTGCATTTTCGCCAACTGGATTTTGTTTCCTAGTTTAAAACTCAGATTAAAACTTATTTGTTTAGAACAGCTTTTAGTGATTTGATTTGAATGTTTGTGTTTTTGTATTGTTTGTATTTTATTGATTTTGCTATCAATAAAAGGTATTGTTGTTGTTGTTGTTGTTGTTGTTTTTATTATTATTAATATTATTATCATTCACTAACATTAGAAACATTAGAAATTCTTTAGAATTGTCCACTAAAATGACCAAAAAGTGTGGTTGTGGCACATCAGAATGTTTTGTTACCTTGGTTTGATGAGCTGAGCTGGTTTATTGATCCCATAATCCCACATGATTTCCTCTGCTGCGATGTAGTAGCTTCTGAACCTTGATTCTGTGGACCTAATACTGACATTATCTTCAACATGATGATCCAAACCGAGAACACTTCCTTCATCGCCATAATCTTCATAGTCACTTGCCAGTGATTTCCTGCCATAGGTCTGGTTATCTGATGAATTTGACATCGGCTCCAAAACCAGTTCCAGATTTGGTTGGAACTTCTTTGGATCTTTGTAGTGAAGATTCAAACTTTCCTCCATCTTGTCCTGCTTTAGACCAGAACTTCCAGATTCTTCCAGAACTTCGTTGTTACTCAGAACTTTTGAATCCACTTTGTTTATTTTGTCTTTGCTGACACTCCAAAGCTCCCTTCGATTTCTCGCTTTGTCAGACTTTTCCTCCGTAGAGTCGTTTAGAAGTTGGTTAGTTGACAGGTTTTTATCTTTAAAAAGGAATTTTCGAAATATGTCATTTGTTGGATGTGTTTTATTGTGTTCAACTTCATCCAACTGTATGTTGGCAACGTTCAAATGTTGATGTTCCCCTGTTAATTCCTTGTTTTCTGTGGTATTTAACATGACTGTAGGGTCAATCTCGTTTGGCCTTGTTCTGTAAGGCTCAGATTCATTGTGGGACCTTTTCTGACGTTCCAATGAATTTCCGCCCATCTCCCCATCCAGTTGATCCAAAATATCCTGTGGAATACCGCCCTGTGATAACGCATCCAGATCTTTTTCCCACTTTACGGGAATATATCTTATCTCACACACACGGGTTCTGCTTTGTCTCTCATTGTCTGAGCTCGTGTTTACTCGCCCAATCGCAGAGTCCGTCATAGTTCTGTTTCGGCACACGCGAATGGCGATAGTGCGGTTCTTTTCCATTGTGCCTCGTGGAATCGGGAAGTTCCGTTCAATGAACTCGATGAATTCGTCATCGTAGTCTTCGCTGTCCACCATGGGTAGGACTCTTTCACAGTTAACAACCGTGTAGCGAACACTCATGCCTCGCTGTTTCAGAGACGGGTCAAATGCGCTGACCTCCCATTCACCTACAAAGTTCAAACATCAAACTTATGAACACGGTATCAAAACAGGTTCCTGATTTAATTATGAATGATTCTTATATTTGTTTTATTTATTTTAGTAGTTCAACTCAAACTAAATGAGAACTATAACAAATATAATATTTATAGCAAATATCATTTTTATTATATTTTGTTTTATTTCAGATCATGCTTATTTTATGTTTTTCATGGTTTTAATTTTAGTTTTAGTTAATGATAATAACCCTTCATCAAACCTTCTTATTTTTCAAAACCAATATCTTGACCTCCGACGCTTACCTAGCATCTCCACTTCAGTGGTCACTGTGTCTCCAGTCATCGGGAAGAGCGTGAGGACAGTGCCATATGTTTTATCCCTCTCAAACGTATTTCCTGTGAAGTAGACTGACAGGAAGTTGTTTTGTATGCCAATGCTCGCCACATGCCAGAGTATGACATCGCCAACACACACCCTGAATTGGAGGTGGTTGAACATGAAGCCGTTAACAGCTGAAACAGACAGACAGAAAGTCTAAATGAAAAAAGTGATTTAACAATTTAACTCATGAAAACTTAGATTAATCCAGTTTTCATGTAATAATACAAATACCCAAAGCAACCACAGATTATCCATTAATTTACATGTAGAGGTTAAAAATCAACACCCACTGTGCATGACATTTGAATTGTAGAAATCTGGATCGTTGCGGTCAATCTTAGTTGGATCTTCACTGTTTTTATTAATGTTCTCCTCAAAGTACCAGCTTCTGTTTTCATCAAACACAGTGAACAAGAGATTCTTCTCTTTATCTGAAGTTACCTGTGAAAACATATTATTAATAATTTATAAATAAAAATAATTCTATCCATCCATCCATCCATCCATCAGATAAACCAACATAGGCTCAATGGAAAAAACATAGGCTCAATGGAAATTAAATTTTTGCAAAACTCAAAAATCATTCCTATGCATGCAACACTAGTGGCAGTAAAACACCAACAAGTTTTATTCTTTTTCATGCAAATTATAATTACGGGGCAGATTATCTAATAATAAAGGCTTATTTTCACATGGTTGCTATGACCTCAAACACTTTTACCATAAACTATTGAGCAAATGTGTTTTTATCTCACTTTTGCTTTTATTAACACTCTCGGTTAGGTTTAGGGTGAACTTTAGTGTGGTATGTTATTTTATGTTATTTTAAAATACGGATAGAGCATAAATCTTTTAGTGCCACTCCCCCGAAATTTCATTTCTGAACTGCTATAATATGTACAACAACCAATGTAATAAAACATCGCCATGTTTATCTGCTTTGGATAAAACTTCATGAAATTTTCGCACCATTTACTAGACATTTCACTTTGAATGTGCCACAAATGGGCGAGAAGCAACGTAAACGTCATTTTTGCTACATGCATTGTTTTTCCAGTCAGTCTAGGTTGAGATAAACAGATCTGTGTCAGAGTCTCTTCTCACCACTCTGCCTCTTTTGTCCAGAGATTGGGATTTGCAGATGATAAGGGGTCCCACCAGCCCAGATGCCACGTCCCGAACGGGATCCACCATACTCTGGTATAAGCGCGTAAGGCATCGTGGGTCGGCTTCCGTGGGTCCATCGTCTGCTGTCAATTTCCAGAGGTACATCATTATCTCACCTGGGGGAACGGCCAACGAACGGAGGTCCACCTGTTTGTCTTCAACCCATAAAGAAAGATAAATAAGTTCAATCCATGAAAAGTTATTTTTCATCCATCTTACTAGAATAACTTGACACCTGACACCAGTGTTATTAGCGTTAACTAAAACTAAAACCATAAAAAACATTTTTGCTAGTAAAATAAAATAAACATTAACTGAAATAAAATAAACTTATTTAAGCTATTTGTCAAGGCAGCCTTTCCCATTTTTGTTTCATTTACCTTGAAGTGCTAAAATAACTAAATCTGAATTAAAATTTTTAACAACAAAATTACTAAATACTAACAAATATTATAAAATTACTAATAAGTACTACACCCATTGTGTTGCTCTTTGTTAGTTATTACACTAACTAATGTAAACTTATGGGACCTTATTGTAGTGTGTCACTTATATTTTGTATAATGACACTAAACTGCATAATTGACAGTTGTCTCAGGCAAATGGTTTGTCATTTATACATGCTTTTATTAAAATATTTCCTACATAGCTGTGCTGCTGCTGCTGTGTGTGTGTGTGCCATCACGGTTTCCACAAAAATATGAAGCAGCACAACTGTTTTCAACATCAATAATATTTAGAAATGTTTCTTGAGCAATAAATCGGCATATTAGAATGATTTCTGAAGGATCACGTGACACTGAAGACTGCAGTAATGATGCTGAAAATTCCGCTTTGCATCTCAGGAATAATATAAAATTTCAAACATATTCAAATAAAAAACAGTTATTTAAATTGGAATAATATTTCACAATATTACTGTTTTTACCGTATTTTGGATGAAATAAATGCAGCTTTAGTGAGCAGAAGAGACTTCTTTCAAAAACATTAAAAAGAATCTTAATTACTCCAAACTTTTGGTAGTGTATATTTATATTTTGCATAAAGAAAATTAAACCTTTTAGTAACTTTAATATACTTTTTGCATTAATCTATTTCCATTCCAATCAAACTGTATTATTACCGTAAAGTGAAAAATCTCCTTCTCAACACTAATGATAACCGTTTCTCAGCAGCTGATTTATGGCAGCTGCTCAGGTGTGGTGAGGCTGATCGCACCTGGTAATGTTGAGTTGATGTATCCATTGATGGTGTGGTACTGGGTTGGACTGGAAGTTTTCTTCAGTTTGTCTGCTCGGCCCACTTCCCGGTACCAACTTTTACTCTCATCGAAGACAGCAAGAAGCAAAATGAACTCCGGAGCCTTCCGCTGTCTCTCCTCAGTCAGAGCCTCTGAGAGAGGAACATTTTAAAGGACATGTCAAATATTTACCAACTTTCTCATTTAGTACAAAATGTCAGTGATATTTTACTTGATATATTTGACAAATCCCAAAAGAGAAGCAACAGAATCACACCTGTCTTACAGATCAGGAGAGTCCCGACGAGTCCGCTGTTGAAATCTCGGACGATGTCCACCTGTGATGAGTAGATATAGGTGAGACAGTCTGGATCTGATGTGGTTGGCCCGGAGTTGGGGGAAATGTCCCACACGTACTTGTAGTAACCACCAGGAGGCACTGCATCATCCGCTCGCTCCTGAACAGAACTGGAGTCCTCGTACCCTGCGCCTGCCGTGGAAAAGCAGAAGGATGTTGAGGTTTATCTTTACACAATATGGTTTTTCAAACCCATCAGTATATTGCTGCATATCTCAGGTTATTGCTTTCGTTTTGCTGGGCAAGCCCAAACTTACTATATGTTGCTTTATACGGGAAATCACATGTATTTTACGCACTCTGGAATTTATTAGTATCTCCAGTGTTACAACAACAAAAAAAAAATTACAGAATTCCAAAACAAGTCTATAATGATATTGTGAGTTAATTCTATACACAATTTGTCTAATGCGGTAAAAGTTAGACAATCTGGAATGAAATTATCTATCAATCAATGAGCAGTTTATTTTAAAGAGTATATAGAATTTCAAAGAGATTAATGCAAATTCCATTCTGTTAGATTTACCTTCCGATTGTTTCCAGTACGGAATGCCGATGGGAGAAATACTGAAAAATTGTGATGCAAAGTTTTTGAAGTGCACCACAACCCTGTCGTTCACCACTGTTCTGATAGTCGGGCCTTGAATACCTGAAACAGATCATTTAACATTCTATTCATTTAGTTCTAAACTTCTTAATGATTTTTTTTCCTAAGGAGCAGAAATGTTTAAGCTTATACTGACCAGCCCATGGAGGTTTTGACTTTGGTGTTGTAAAAGTGGAATCAGTGTATTCCGTATATACAGCCTTGATGTATTTCTGGACACCAGATGCTAATTTCCTGTTAGGAATTATTATGCAGTTACTAAACATATTTACAATGCAGTGCAATGCAACATAATACAATGCAACTTTATTAATCCATAGTTAGCAATTCATTGCTAAATGTTTTAAGGAATAGTTCACCCCAAAATGGAAAGCTGCTGAAAATGCACTCACCTTCAGGCCATCCAAGATGTAGATGAGTTTGTTTCTTTATGGGAACAGATTTGGAGAAATGTAGCATTACATCACTTGCTCACCAATGGATCCTCTGCAGTGAATGGGTGCCGTCAGAATGAGAGTCCAAACAGCTGATAAAAACGTCACAATAATCTACAAGTAATCCACACCACTCCAGTCCATCAGTTAATGTCTTGTGAAGTTAAATGTTTGTAAGAATCCATCATTAAGACATTTTTAACTTTAAACCGTTGCTTCCGGCTAAAATATGAGTCCTCTCTTCATAATATTGTTTTCTCCAGTGAAAAGTATTTGGGTCTGAATCAGGAGAGAAATATGCACAGATAAAGCACCGTTTACAAGTTCAAATGGTACTAAACAAATATGTCTGTGGATTTTGATATGAGGTGACAACAGGGGATGGCTTTTGTTTTTTGGCCAGAAGCGACAGTTTGAAGTTAAAAACACTTTAATGATGGATCTGTTTCTTACAAACACACAGCTTTTCTCTACAAGTAATGTTAATTGATGGACTGGAGTGGTGTGGATTACTTGTGGATTATTGTGATGTTTTTATCAGCTGTTTAGACTCTCATTCTGACGGCACCCATTCACTGCAGAGGATCCACTGGTGAGCAAGTGATGTAATGCTACATTTCTCCAAATCTGTTCCCACGAAGAAACAAATTCTACATCTTGGATGTCCTGAGGGTGAGTAGCCTACATTTTCAGCAAATTTTCATTTTACATTTTACATTTACATTTACATTTAGTCATTTAGCAGACGCTTTACCCAAAGCGACTTACAAATGAGGACAATAAAAACAGTCAAAACTAACAAAAGAGCAACAATAATTTAAGGCTGAACTTTTCCTTTAATAATTACACCAGGAATTGTATTTAAAAAATTTAGTACTAACTAATAACAGAATGTTTTGTCTTATAAAGGAGTATGCATGGTTGCAACAAATATGCATATTCAGCAAATGATCTGCTGCGGTTTCACACTAATGAGCTTGAACTGTTATCACATTCTGTTCTGAAAACACCAAATCAAAGCATGTTTGTTCTGACCGCATGTTCACTATTCATGGACTGAAAAGCACTACGAGAATAATTAAATATAAATAACAGGCAGGCTTCTGATCACCAAAACAATCAATCAAACTTTGAATGACACTGACCGTATCTAACTGCAAACTATGTTCACATTCGGTATGCTCTGTTTAACTATACAACTTGGAAGCATATTTGAAATTTGGACAGCCCTCAAAGTTTTTGCCTTTGAGGGTTGCTGGACTGAGTCCATGTGAAGTAATGAAAAAATCAAACATTTTCTCAAAGCTGTTTCCTTTCTGTAACAACTTACTGATGACATTATGCTTGATGGTCACATTCCAGATTACTCTGATAAAACACCACTGTTAGAACACAGTGGTGTTTTGAGAACACTGTGTAGCAAAATTTCATAATATATGTATAATAAATGACATAAAAGGTGTATAATAAATCTTTGTGGGTAGCAATAATTGAAAAGCATGTTTGTTGTGTGCATAATAATAGAAATGCCCACCTCTGGTTTGCAGTAGAATCTGCTGTGTCTGTAAACATATATTCCCACTTAGTTTCCACTGCTGCGATGAAGAACTCCAAAGTCTTCGCCAGGACACAGGAAGACTTCAGACACACCGAGAGGGAGAGGAGGAACAGAACAACCTTCATCACTGGAGCACAAGTTTACGCTGACTGAATGTGATGCTGAGATGCTGTCAGGACATATTTAACTGCACAGGAAAAGTGTTTAAGGAGGAGCCAGAAAGAGAGCGAGACAGAGAGAGTGTTCATGAGTAGGCCAAATGATGAGTGTTTGAGTCATAGGAAGAATGAAGTAAGAAAGGAAGGATAATGGATGGGTGCACTATTTTGGAAATTTCTACAGTATTTTTAGCTCTTTTTTTCTTGAATAGCAGATGTTTTGAGCAATAGTAATAGTGATGCTTGTCATAAGCACTACTAACAGTCTTCATCATGTACACTTAACGTTTAATTACATTAACACAGGAAACAATGTACCATTTAAAGCAGAGGGTCTTCAACTTTTCTTAACCAGAAACAAAATGGGATAATTACAAAACTATATGGTATGTTTTATATAATTGCTGTGCTCTTTTTGACTAAAACAACTCCAACATAGACAAATAGCCTAGTTTTTTTTATTTTTAAGACATAGACAAAAAATGTTTTTTTCCCCCAAGAAAAGTTTTTGAAAGCTTCTTTAACACTTTTTAAAGGTATTATCAACTAAATATAACTCTTTGTATGTTTTCCTCTATTGTTTTAAATGCCTTTGCCATGAGCCACACCATACTAAATTATATAGTAAATTATATATATATATATTAAATGATTACTAATTACTTGTCACATATCCATACAACACATTATTGTTCATATTTTGTTCCTGTGCTATTTGGTTTCAGTCCTTTATACGGCGATAAACAAGACTGACCGGTGACCCCGTACCGACAGCGCGGAGAGATATTATTGTTTTATTTTTCAGGTGCGGACCGCGTCACCAAGTGACACTGCGGAGTGATAACACTAATCTGTGTAGTCCCGGTTAGTTCTGTCTGGCAATCAACAAATTGCGCGGGAGAGTGGATTAAGCGGCGCATTTGCTTTTACCAATTTAATCGTACATTTAGGCTATAAATAACTTCATGAGCCATATTTTAAGAAAGACTGCAATTAAACTAGGATCTCGTCTAAAGTCAGGCATCCGCTTTCTGTTTTCTCTAATTAGGAAACATGGGCTTTCAGTGTCGAGAACTCCTAGATCAGACAACAAAGAAGTTGATGTAAAGCACAAGGAATTTGCTTTTAAAAAGATGAAACTAAAATGTTGATAAGAATCTGCTTGAATCAGCAGGACTGGTCATTAATGAGTCATAATTAAAGGAATAGTTCACCCAAAAATGACAAATTGCTGAAAATGTATCCATCCTCAAATGCGTCCATCCAAGATGTAGAAGAGTTTGTTTCTTCATGGGAACAGTTTTAGAGAATATAGCACTACATTACTTGCTCACCAATGCATGGAGAAAGAGTTATTATTATGGACTCATATTATGGCCAGAATCAAAGGTTTTAATTTAAAAATGTCTTAATTGATTTGTATCTTACAAACACGCAGCTTTTCACTTTTCACTATAAGATGTTCACTGAAGGAGTTGTGTGAATTACTTGTGGATTATTGTGATGTTTTTATCAGCTGTTTGGACTCTCATTCTGACGGCACCCATTCACTGCAGTTTTATATTTGAATTTATAAAATTAAAATGAAATTGAATACAACTGATTAAAGTTTAACAAAAAACAAACAAACAAAAAAAAAAAATTAGTGCAGTGCCAAGAAATATACTTTATAAGAGTGATCCAAGTTTTCTCTCTTGAAAATATCTTACATGAGTGAGTACACATTAATTTCCCCCAAAAACAATAAGAGCAAATCTTTAAACCGCATAAACATTTCATTACACCAAATACACAAAATAATGTTCTTTTTAGCAACGTCATATGACCCCTTTAATAAATCTTTAATACATTAGGTTATCTATGAACATGATTTCTGCCCGAGGTTTTCGTTTTTATGGAGTTTTACATGTTTTTAGAAATAAAATGTTATATAAAGTCAGTGATTTATGAACAACCCCCTCTGTAACAATCTTCAGATTATAGATAGGAATAAAACTACAAAGCCTGGTGAATGTACTGTAAATGGTACTGAAGTGGAGATTTATGACACCGTAAATGAGAAACAAATAGAGAAAACGGCATTTAAAGATGTTTTGTAATTGAAATCTACAGATGCAAATAGGACAAGTATAATAAACTAAGCACCAAAATGTGTATTTTGGATGTTTTCTTTCCACTAATCTAAAATACACATTATTAAAGTATTTAATAATTTACAGTATCTTCTGGGAAAATGGAGAAAAAAAAAGATTAAATTTAGATGTACGTCTCTAATACACTGTAGCAAATCAAGCGGCAAATTACGGTTCATGGATGACTTTTTTTTTTTTTTGATCAATTGGCCATTTAAAAAATAAATTCAATATTTCCCACCCAAATGTCCTGTTTTTAATAGGAAACATGCCAACATATGTACTTACATCTGCAGTGCATTTTTGTGTGAAGAATGAGGTGAGACAAACGTAAATAAAACCATCTGATGTATATTCTGAATCTCAAAAAATGACGAATACAATGTGACAATTCTTATCTTAATGGGCACAAATTTTAGCACAAAAGGACATTTATAGAATTTAGTGCTTGATCTTAAGCAATTGTACTTTTTTTTAATACATTTTTTTTTTAAAATAAAACATCATATGACCAAAATGAAAATAAAACAATATGATTTTTTTTTCTTGAATCTCATGATTTAAAAAAAAAAAAAAAGTTTTTAAAACAATACAAAAGGAAATCCTTTTTAAAGATGTTTTGTAATTGAAATCTACAGATGCAAATAGGACAAGTATAATAAACTAAGCACCAAAATGTGTATTTTGGATGTTTTCTTTCCACTAATCTAAAATACACATTATTAAAGTATTTAATAATTTACAGTATCTTCTGGGAAAATGGAGAAAAAAAAAGATTAAATTTAGATGTACGTCTCTAATACACTGTAGCAAATCAAGCGGCAAATTACGGTTCATGGATGACTTTTTTTTTTTTTTGATCAATTGGCCATTTAAAAAATAAATTCAATATTTCCCACCCAAATGTCCTGTTTTTAATAGGAAACATGCCAACATATGTACTTACATCTGCAGTGCATTTTTGTGTGAAGAATGAGGTGAGACAAACGTAAATAAAACCATCTGATGTATATTCTGAATCTCAAAAAATGACGAATACAATGTGACAATTCTTATCTTAATGGGCACAAATTTTAGCACAAAAGGACATTTATAGAATTTAGTGCTTGATCTTAAGCAATTGTACTTTTTTTTAATACATTTTTTTTTTTAAATAAAACATCATATGACCAAAATGAAAATAAAACAATGATTTTTTTTTCTTGAATCTCATGATTTAAAAAAAAAAAAAAAAGTTTTTAAAACAATACAAAAGGAATAAAATCCTTTTTAATCACAGGAAGTCCAGTTATCAAAAATAGAAAAACAAGAATACTAAATATTTCTCAAAAATGTAGCTCCCAATAAAAATACAAAACATACAAACACTGACTTACATACATATGAACAGTAAGGACGGAGCATGCATTCGGGTAAAATCATTATTTCAGCCGAGACTGTGAGATTGGGAACTGAAGTGTCGAGGGCTGTTACATCTGTTATGTGCTGTTGAGTCCATGAGCTTCATCACTACTAAACTGCTTCTCTTTGGAAGACTTCTTTTTCTGAGCAATAAAAGAGCAGTACAAGTAATTTACTTACAGAACCACCAATCTTAATCAGTTTTATTATTATACAGGGTTTCTGCAGGTTTCATGAAGATAAAGACTTTTTAAGACCAAGTAAAGACCATTTAAAGGGATAGTTCACCCAAAAATGAAAATTCTGTCATTAATTACTTACCCTCATGTCGTTCTAAACCCGTAAGACTTCCGTTCATCTTCGGAACACAAATTAAGATATTTTTGATGAATTCTGAGAGCTCTCTGACCCTCTCATAGACAGCAATGTAATTACCATGATCAAGGTCCAGAAACATAGCAAGGAGATCGGTAAAATAATCCATGTGACATCAGGGGTTCAACCGTAATTTTACGAAGCTACGAGAATACTTTTTGTAC